GACTTAAAGCTGGGGGGCTGCAAAACAGCTAAACACTTCTCCCTCTTTGAAACGGTATTTGTCTGACTCCCTCTATACTACTGAAGGAATCATTTAAAAATATCTTTATGTCACCCGGAAAAGGAAAAAATAAATGCCGTGACATCTGGAAGCTAAGGTAAGCCTACTTGTTGTATGTTTGTTTTTCTTTAAAAACTATGCCTGTAAGAGCACTTTTGAGTACTTCTGAATGTAAGGCCTGGACAAGATAATTACCTGAGGAACATGGCACATTTATTTACTACAAATGCATCGGTAGATGCCCACAACAATGTTTTGTCTACCCTCTCTAAAACTGAGAAATCTCAGATGAAGGCTTTGGACATTATAGTTGGGGACATTTCTGATGATCTCAAGAAACAAATGAAAAACAAAATCCAAGATGATCCAGCCAAGACAATGGGTTTATATTTGCTAGTGTTGGTAGCAACTGCAGCAAAATATGACTTGACAACTTATATTGATGTGACTGACGGACTCACCAATGATGCAGAGGGTGTAATAGAAAACATAGACTACAGAGCTGAAAATTCCACCAGACCATTAGTATTATTTGGGTCTCATTTCCACATCCTGACATAGGCAGAAACCAGTGCTGAGAAAATGCACATTTGTACATGGCAACTATAGATACAAATCGGACACGAGTATTGGAAGTAACAAGACAATTTTGAGTTAATAAAAAAAGTCACATTCAAATTCTCTGGTGCCAATTTCCATTTAGACCCAATGCTATCAAGACTATTCACCATTGTCAAGGTGACATATTAAATGAAGCAGTTATTGATTTTCCAGCATCCACAAGAGATCGACAGCACAAGCATTATGTTGACTTGAGTCACGTATAAAACATCTCTGCACTGCATATTCTTAATTACTCGGGCTAGGTAGAAAACGCGAGGCCAGGGTCCCGGCGTATGGGGTACGGGGTCCCAGGGTGTGGAAAACGTGGGGTGTGGAAAATGCGGGGTCTGGTGGAAAACAATATTTTCGCCAAAATATGAATTTTCCTCACTAAAATGAGAAGCCAAAGTTTTGTTAGCTTGTATTGTGATGAATATCAATTCAGCATCTCAGCCTGAAACGTGTTGCTCGATCAAAAAAGTAAATTAAACATTTTGTGAGAAAGAAAACCATTCAAGAGCCAACATGTCATGCATTGGTTTTCTTTCGGGGCATCTATTTTATTTTTCACAGTAACTTGCGTGTATTTTTTACTTTTGGAAAAGAAATAATTAACGTGTTAACAGTCACCTTTGTTTGGGAAACATTTTTTCCAGAAAGTAATCCAATAAGGATATTGTGCAAACCCTTGGATTACCGTGTGTTTCGGCACTAGCGCTAATCACCAAATTCCATTCATGAAATCACATGTGGAGTGCTGCCACTCCATAAATCAATTTGCGATACGTGTGGTCCATTTGTATAAAATTGATGTGCGCTGCACACACTTTTGGCGGTAGTCGTAATGGCGTATTTCAAAATACCCACCATCAAAACCAAGCCCAGGAAGAAAAGTAGTATAGACGGTTTGAGTGAGTTTCAGTGGAATGAAATTGAGGCAAAAGTTGAAATTGGAAGCAGGTGTTTTGGAGTGGCCCATAAAGCGAAGTTTAACGGGAACACATTGGTTGTGAAGTGTTTGCGAAGTGAGCGGCTAGCCGAGATTGCTTTGTTTGCCAAAGAAGGTAGGCTGCTAAACACCCTTCACCATTAGAATATTGTTGAAATCCAAGGATGCTGTTTTTCCCTCTGTACTCTAAAGCTGAGTTATCAGTGTTTCAAATTCTGTCCTTTCGGAATTGAGAAGACAGTAAATAAACTACTTCCATTTCTGAAAGTGATGGATTCTTTTGAACAAACTTCATTAACTGTTTTCTCACCGACAGTACTAAAAATAGCCCAAGATATTTCTCATGCCCTTACATATCTACACGATAAAGATGTTACTCACAGAGACCTTAAACCTGGGAATGTTCTTCTTAGTAATGGGTATTACAGTGGGGAGGAAAACCGTGAGCAACCAATAATGTTTTTAGAGTAAGCCTGATTGTGTGCAAACTAACAGACTTTGGGGAAAACAGATCTCAGTTTATTCAAACATCGATGGCAATACATTCTCGCACAAGCAACCTTGAGAAGGGTACCGTCTCCTACATGGCACCTGAATTAATATTAAACAACTTGGAAGGGGCGTCTGTGGAGGACCTCAAGAACATTGATGTGTGGGCTCTGGAGATGACCCTGTTTGTGCTACTCAATCCCAATCTGATAGGCCCTTACTTATTAGAACATGGGGAAAAGGCACTAATGCCTTACAGAAAAGTGATCGCAGGCAAAATGCGGGCACAAGAAATACCAAGGATATCAGAGAAGTATCATCAAAAGCAGGCATCAGAATGGAACAAAGTGGAAAAGGTATTCCATCAGTGCATAGTGTTTAATGCTATAGCGAGACCTGCTGCCTGGGACATTCAACGATTACTTGAAGACCAAACAACAAACTGCAGGTGCATGAGCTTGGCAGTCAGTCAGCAAAGGGCTGTGGAGCAGTTTGATCAAGATATGCTATCGTGCTGCGATGAAGCAAGTGACCCACAAAACCACACTGTATTCCTGGAGCATGACGTGACAAACACTTGTAGTTTTCTTAGTCTAGCAATCTCTGACTCCTTGTTAAGTTTGCCTAACACAAGCGACACGTCTTGGGGTCAAGTAGCTGAAATAGCCCACAAAGTTATCATTGAACTTCCATCTTTGTTGAACAATGTCAGAGATCCTACCCGCTATTATGATGTACTCGATGTAGCTCCAGGCATCGTAACAACGTTGGAATGTCGCAAAAGATAAAAAGATTATGAGGACTTCAGTCGAAGTACTGATTTCAAACACCAAAGACTGAATGATTCCAACGTGATTTATTAACATTAGCCATGATTTGATGTCCAAAACCGTCAAACTAAAATACAATCAAAAAACCTAGTCTAAGCGACACGAAATACTAAAACTAAAGTAACCATTACATAACACAAATACATATTAAAATACATGAGTGCGAGGAAATCTAAAATACAACAATTGACCAAGAAATGCAATGAAAATGGCAAGGAAGGAAATACACGCTTACCGATTGTCCTCTCTGTAACGCCTGAATAGACAAGTCGCAAGATAAATGCAGTAACCTTCGCAATGGACTCTCTTGTGTAAAATAACTATCGCAAAACGATAACGCACGAGGTATGACATATGATATCGAAGCATTCCTAATACGCAACAAAGACTAATACTTAACAGAGAATAATACTTAACTGAAAATAATACATAACTCGACAACAATTACACTCAAGGCCATACAGATTATGAAGACACACAAACTTATCCCTCAGGAAGTGGCGCTCTATGAGAACATCATATCCGACAGCTGCATCTTCTCACCTGAAGGTCGCCATCTTCTACGCAACACATTGGCATCTGCACCGAACCAGGCAACGTCAGCATACCTATATACCTGTGTGCCTTATGTCTTTCTAGTTGGAGTTCTAAATATTGTAATAAATAGCACTATTTTTTGGTAGAAATATAAGTAATGTGAATCATTAAGTCATTAAGAATTACACAAAAGTGTGCATCAGCATTATGTAACAGTGTGTGGTAACTAGTAAAGAAAAAAAAAGAGGAAAAAAAATATTGTAATAAATAGCATTATTTTTTTTTGGTAGAAATATAAGTAATGTGAAATTATCAGCATTTTTTTTTAAAGGTAGAAATCCAAGAGGTTATTGGTTAAAACTGTAAAAGGGGTTAATTGTGACTAAATAATATCATATGCATACAATAGGGGGAGGGGAAAAGTTTTCTGGAATGTAAGTACTATAACTATAACCAAGTAAGTAGCAGATAAATGTTGTACTGTAGCATTGTATTGTAAGTATTTTTCATTGTACGTAATGTTCTTTTTTTTTGGTCTGTTAGTGTGGAAATAAAGTTAATTAAAAAAAAGAAAAGAAACAAAGATGACGGCAGTTTAGACAGGTCAGTAGAAATACGAGTGTATCTGAATATCCTTAGACAAACAAAGGTGTTTGCCTTTTCTCTTACAACAGAAATTATCAAGTGTGTTATTTTTTGATGTAAAGAAAGTGAGTTAGTACTCATTGTTTAAGAAAAAACACTGCTTTTATAATTGCTTCTCTCATGCAGAAGCTGCTTTGAAGATATTGAAGATGTTGTTGATCTTACTCATTGCCTGAGTTCTACATCAGCACACCAAAGTATTTCCTCACCAGAAACCAGGTAATATGTTATCTCATGAACTTAATTATTTGTCTTTTTCCTTATGTTATATATTTAAAAGAAACTCCCAGATGCAGTTTATTTGTTAACTGCCAGCCTCAGATGAACAAGGGAGTGGATGCCACCCACCAATCAGGCTCAATCTCAGGCTTAAAAAGAGTATTTATCCTGAGATGCTGAAACTTTCCACAGCTTTATTCATTCATCGTGTAAATTAATATGCCAACTGTGTATTCATGATTTTACATGTAAGACATTGCAAGGCAAGGCATAATTACATGTAGGTTAGGCCAGATATCTATTATAGTTTTGGATGTATTTGTTTATATTTTTCCAGTTATTTTAGTTTGATTTTAGTTTGTTGAAAAAATGACTGCATTACTCCAAAAAAGGACAGATATAGTAGCGCTTTTGCATAAATACAATATACGTTTTGTTACACAGCCGGGACATTGTCGCAAAGATTCAAGATGTCATTGATCTTACCGGGTCCTAGAGTCCCACATCAGCAGACCAATAGATGCCTTCACCAAAGACAAGGTATTTTATCTCAACGTTTATAATGTCAAGAAGCTCAAGTAAAGACTGAGGCAGATTTCGTGAACTGAATAGATACAGGATAGATACAAGAAAAATTCTGAATAGCCATGAGACCATTCTTTTAACTGAGAAGTCATTTCAGTGTTGTTTGATTTCAGCTCATTAATTAACATTGAGTGTAAAACACTCTAGTCTGCATGAATAGGGTATATTTGCAATCAGTTTCTTATATAAAACTATTCACTTTGCTCTCCGGCAGACGTCAGTACAAGACAGGTTTGATAGTTATTTGTTTAATTCATGGTTTTACTGTGGGATATTAAAGCGAAAACTGAAACTTTCAATAGTGTTTCATTCATTTACATACAACAATGTCTATATTAAGCTGCTTAATGCTGCCGGGCAAATATATTTTGCTTTGAACGATGATTGATATTCTCTGGTGGCCTTTTGTGTATTAGCTAGGGAGTCATTAAGTAACTGTTTCATGAATGGAGAAGGGCTTCTCACTTACTGTCTTGTCCTTATTAATCTTTATTCTGGTCATTCCTTTGTAATTTGCAGTAAATGGAAATGCTTAAGTCAAAAACAGTGACAGTAGCAGTGGCAATGAAGCATTTCATGTCACTGAGTATAATAAAGACAACCCCAAACTTCCTGTATACAAAGAAAACAGAGGTTCTTGGCCCACTGAGAGTTGTAAATCTTCTTAGATCAGTTGGAATGTTGCTTCCCATAAGCGTCGCCTGTATCCAACAACCTAGCCATGTCGAGCACCACAGAACCTTCATTGTAGACACCGAAGCATTGAAATCCATAGAGGATCTCAAGTGTGATGATTGTGGTTGCTGGCTCAATAACAGTGACAAGAAATTCCGTTTTGTTGTTGACAAGGGTGGAAATGTCTCCAGAGACGTTAGTAAAGAAATGAATGGCCCAGCTGTTGTTCGTACGTTTAAGAGAGAGTACTTCTGCTTGAAAGACGGGGATTCTGAATGACTTTAGGAAGAGGATTGATGTGATTTATGGTAGGTTACTTTTGACGTTTATGTATAAAGGGTTTCTCCGGGGGTTTCTACCCGATGTGAGGGTCTCAATGGGGATCAACCATTAGCCTTTAAATGCCAAAAAATGTTATCCTTTGGCTTAAAACTGAAATTATAATAGAGCAACGACTGTCATGTGACAGGCATTGCTCTATGCTGTAGTGCGATAGCTGTTTAGAGAGGCAATTACTCCATAACCGGTGAGTTACACCAAGCATGTATGCAAGGTTACAGATTTGCTTGCCTGAGCCATTTTGGTTGAAAGCATTTTGCTGTTTCAAGAGGATTACCCTAAAGAACAGTCCAAAGATTACTGAGCTGTTATTCCCCGTGCAGTTGAAAAGGACCATCACATAAAATAAAAGAAAGAGCTAAATTATATTTGAAGATTTGCATTTGCTTTTGAAAGCCAAAATCTCTATATTTTTTCTCAGTAGGCCGAGACAAGACAGAATTTGATTTTGATCACGGGTATGTCACGCTACAATATCATGCAACTTTTGTCAACTTCAAGGTCGAGAAGTAAAATGAAGTAAATTCCGAGTTGAAGGGGCTCAATTTACTCTTAAGGACACCGGCTCATGCTAATTGTTTCTGTGCATCCTTACTGCACACGCAAATTCACACTCCATGTCACGGCATCGAGGGCTCGCTAAAGTCAAAACGAAGTCCGTGACCCCCATTTTTTTCATTTCTGAAAACAAGTAAGTCATCTGTCCACAATAAAAATTGGACGAAAATCTATCAAGTAGAACATTTTCGCGATGTAAAAAAATGTCTGCTGTCGACAACCTTAAAACTAAAATACCAACTGTTAGTAGTAAAAGCCACTTACCTATAACAAATGAAGCATCACTGATATTAATATATCACATTATAGGGCCAGATGGTATGATGCATCAATATTGTTTGGTTCAGTATTCCTTTAAATGAGGAGCCAAACACTCAATTGAGCTCAGACCACATAGAAATTGCAAGTGATGGTCAACAGGATACATGAGAACCTGGACCAGTACCAAGACTTTCCTGAAGTCGGCTTCTGAAGAATCTAAGCCAAGGGAGGTGGCCTACAAAACAGTCACAGAAGAACTTGGGGGTCTGCCCGGCTGTTCTGGCATAAGACAACTACCCAGAGGTAGACAGCAAGTAAAGGATTTTGGTCGAAAGCCCAGAGACAAAACGAGTGTTCCCGTGAAGAATATTTCTGGGGCAGGAAAACAACATGATCCGTGGTTTCGTCTTCTCGGCGATTGTAAAAAACAAGCAAGCGACCGGAAATCAGCATTCATAAGAGACGTAAGAGTCGCCCCAGAGCCAATGTGTGTCCTTACAACCGACAGAACTCTGAATGATATGGTAAGATTTTGCTGTAATCCAGTCGAGTTCAAACCCTTCACCGTGGACCCAACATTCGACATAGGTGACTATAATGTGATGCCCATCACGTATCAGCACTTATTGTTAGAAAACAGAAAAGATGGCAAGCACCCTTCAATGATAGGCCCTGTCGTCCTCACTCACGAAAAGAAAACGACAGAGACATATTCAGTTTTTAGCGGAGCCCTGAAATCACTAAACCCAGGCTTAGGCAAAGTCTTAGCGTTTGGTACTGATGGCGAGAAGGCTCTTGTCATTGCGTTCAGAAACAACTTTGAAAGGGCCACAAATCTGCTATGTGATCTTCACCTGAAGGCGAACGTCGAAAGCAAACTCCAGGAATTTGGAATAAGTGGCATAGTAAAGGAAACTATTGTCGCTGACATATTTGGAAGACAGAGAGGAACTGTCTTTGAAGCTGGGTTTGCAGATGCTTCGAGCAGAGACATGTTTGTCAAACAGCTCGGCCAGCTGGAAGAACCATGGTCAGCACTACACCAAAATGGGCGGAATTTCTTCAAATGGTTTCATAATCACAAGAGCGCTGATTTCGTGAACTGTGTTATTAGTCCAGTTCGTCAAAGAGCCGGACTGGCCGTGTCCATCCGAAAAGTTCACAACCAACCGCTCAGAGGCAACCAACAATGTATTGCAGGACTTCGTGTCACGTGAATCGCATGGAAAGAAGAGAGTGGATGAGTATTCCTTTGCATCATCTGTTCAGAAGTTGGTCAAGATCCAAAAGGAAGATGTCGAGCTAGCAGCAGTAGGAGGAGGGGAATACAAATTGAGAGAAGAATTCCGGTATCTAGAAGTTGTCCCAAGCGAATGGAGCCGAATGCGCATCGATCAGAGAAAAGCAGTGTTACAAAAAATTCACGAGGCTAACATTGATGAAATGCAACAGTCAAGCGTTACCCAAGCCACGAATGCCCTTCGAAGCGGAGCACATGCCGTTATGCAGGAAATTCAAAGTATCGGAATCGACTGGATACCTCATGACGTTTTATCTGCATTGGTGAATAAGGCGGATTCCCTGAATAAAGAACATCATTCTGTAATGCCGCAAAAACAATGAGACAGTCGTTGTTCCGTCAAAGTCAAATCCCAGAGATCCACACGTGGTAAACCTGTTTGCTAACGGAAAAGCTGAATGTGCAAAATGTCCCGGACTTGCCGCATTTTCAATCTGTGCCCACACCCTGGCTGCATGTTTCGCCATAGATCGTCTAAAAGATTTTCTTCGTTGGCTGGTTAGTACGAAGTGTAATTCGGGCGGGATCAATTTATCCGCGGCAGTTGCTCACGGAATGCCCAAAGGAAGGGGCCGTAAAGGGGAACGTGCTCCCAGAAAACGTTCTGTTGGAAACAAAAAACCAATCTCAAACGTGGTGTCTCGAGTCGCACTTGGCTACAACAGCAACGATGGTTTACAGCCACACTGTGTCCCCCAAAGGGTAAGCTTTATCGCAGCAATCATCAAACTTCTTCCAGTCCGTTCAGACTCAATATCCCCCAAGTCAGCTGTTTGTTGGCCCCACTGCGTCCAACCAATGTAGTCCAGACTCAGTTTTTCCAACTAGTTTCATTTCCCCTCAAAAAACCCAGTTCTTCGTTCGACCACAGCCGACCCCTCAGACGTCTTTTCAGCCACAGTCGACCCCTGAGTCGTCTTTTCAGCCACAGTTCATCCCTCAGAGGTCTTTTCAGCCACAGTTCACCACTAAAAAGTCTTCTCAGCCACATTTCACCCCTCAGACGTCTTTTCAGCCACAGTCGACCCCTCAGACGTCTTTTAAGCCACAGTTCACCCCTCAGACGTCTTTTCAGCCACAGTTCACCAATCAGAGGTCTTTTCAGCCACAGT